CAGCCTGAGTTGATAAAAGTTTAAAATTCCGAGGAGTTGTAAACTTTTATTGACGAGTGTTGATATATGGTTAAACGTCGCGTCCAAGATTATTGCACTTATATTGCGACGTACATGTACGTGTGTGTGTTTGTGTGGCTGCTTGTACTAGTCCGGACTAATGCCGACTTATAGTGCTAGCTCACTGAGATACCATGCCGCAGTTTAACATGAATACCCCACTCAGACAAAGTGTACTGACTCCGAGCCGACCAGTCTTTGTTTTAGCCCCTTAATCCCGAGCGCCAGACAGGGTAACAACAAGTACCATCTTTTAACGTCTTTTGGTATGACGCGGCCGGGATTGAACCCCGGACCTTCCGCTCTCCGGGCGGACGCTCTACCACTAGACCACGGAGGCGGTCAAATTTAGTTAGAGGAGACTAGTAAAGCACATCGATGTACCTGATCACGTTTTCAAAAGTTGATGGATACACTGTAAAAAATGTGTCAAGTAAACACCTGCAAGATATGTTTACATGTTTACATCTATACATGTTCAGGAATGTGTTTAAATCCTAAACGGAAAACACATGTGTTGGGTTCTATCTAAACACGTTAAAAATCTAAACACACGAAATGAGCTATCGTTTACAGCCTAAACACCACCTAAGAACAACATCCCCACAATCTACTAGCTGTTAAACACAACCCTAAACATGTTTAGGGGCGTGTCGTGTTTAGGCTAACACATTTTCTACAGTGGTGTCCTCACCACCTGAAATACGGTTTGTTCCCAGTTTTTTACAATTAGTTTCCACTTGAGTTTTTATTCTAAGGTAGGAATTAGTCTGCTCTTTGCAAGTCGCGTAGTTTCACATTCTCGACCTTCCCAGTATGTGGAGCGTTAGATGGTGACTAGGATAACAGTGTGTCATAAGTGACACTAATTTTAATTTTAATTTTTAATTTAGAACTGGAATCATAATGATTCGTACATTTATCAGCAGCTTTAACATCCTGGCTTGTCTCAGCACTGGTGAATGTACATGTAAAGAGGTGTCAAACGTGTTGACATATAAGATGCATGCTTCACTTCATCTATTAACATTAACGGGAGATATGAACTCCCCGTGGTAGGAGCTGACATTTGGAGAGAGTCTCACATTCGGTTTTAAGTTAATAATGCAGAAAACATTGCTTTAAATTGCTATTAGTGAGTACATTTCTTCAGCACAATTGTCAGACACATAGCTGCCAATGAGCATCACAAACTCAGATGACATTATCTGCACAAATCGTTGACCGGAAATACCAAAGCTATAGGTGGAGTCACATGAAATGGATTTTTGAATCGTCCTGTTCAAGATTATTTCACGTATATGACATGTGCGTTTGTGTGCGTGTGTGTGCGTGTGTGTGTGAGAGAGAAATAAAGAGGGAAATGAGAGAGAGGAAGACACACAGACAGAGAAAGAATGAAAAGAGTGAATGAGGGAGAGAAAGAGAGAGAGTTAAAGACAGAGGAAAGAGATATAAAAAGAGCGATAGAAAGAGAGTGAGAGATGGGTGAAAGAGTGGAGAGGGAGAGAAAAAGAGAGACAGAAGAAAGATAGAAAGAAAGCGAGAGAAAGAGGGTGTGAGGAGAGAGTAGAAGAGGGAGAGAGAAAGAAAGAGAGAAAAGAGAAAAAAGAGAGAAAAAAGAGAGAAAGAGGGAGCCCGCACGAGAGAGACATTTATGGCATACAACATCGGAACCAATGTCAAAGAACATTTACCCGACGAAAGCTGAGTGATATTTTGTCCTTTTCGTTTCTGACAAGGTAATGTATTGCGAGAGTTGTAGAATATCGATTCCCAAAGTGCTGCATGTTCACTTTCTTCCTTAATAAATGGCACCTTAAGTCAGACTAAGTCATAATCTTCAGCAAGTGCCCCATCAAACACACTACTGCCAGGTCAAGTCACATATACGACATGTAACACTAATATTCATATTCAATACGTTCTTAAGATGTTTTTGTCCCTTTGTCACTTCAATTCTTCTCCTGGTCTCATAATGTAAACATTTTCCCCGCACGATTGTCACAGAAGCATTCAGTATGGTTAATTTGAAACAAGTGCAGTGTATGCATTCGCGCTAATGACAACTTTAATCACATAGCCATGATGATCATTGAATTCGCAAGTGTAATTATATAAGTATTAATCTAGATCCTCGGCCATGCAAGCGATATTTGACCTAACAATCAGGCCTTGGTAATATATCTTCTAACAATCCGACTTTGATGACATGACAAACGGTCAGGTCTTGATATTTGACCTAACTGTTAGGCATTGATGATATACGACCTAACGATCAGGCCCTGACAAAATATGACCACACAATCGCGTTTTGATGGTATTTCTTCTAACAGCCTCATCTCTTGGATGTTACTTGTTCAGCATCAGTGATATATATGTTCAGGGAAGTCGCACGTATTGTAAACACGATGATAAGACCTTTATGGCATATTTTGGAAAAAAACTTTGTGTGTTAAGGGGTATTTATCCTAAAAACGAATTAATTATACTGACATTGACCTTCAAAAATGAATATTTTATTAACCAATGATACAAATTAGTCCCTTCTAAAAATGATACCCCAACTGATATGGGTGTGACGTATCAGACGGCATGGGTAGATGTTCACCTTATCGACCACTGGTTTAAAAAGTCTAAGCATGACTACTTAACAAATCGTCATGATAGAGCTGTTATACTTTGGAGGACGATGTAAAAATCAATCCACACACTCGTATTCTGTAACAAATCAACTTTACCCAATTACAGTACAATGAAGCATCTATATAACCCCAATGGTACATCGAGAGGCATATATCAGCCTTGTTTATGTCGACTGTGGAATCCGTATGATAAGATATTGATTTTAACCGTTTCCAATTGACAGTGCTGGGCGATATCTGATGGTGCTTGATGAACTCCCAGAACTGATTGTGGCAGTAACAGCAGCCCAACACCGTCGGATCCAGCCTGGCGTTAACGCGCACACTAAATCTGATGCAAAGACGCAATGAATTTGTTTTACTTAAGTCAATCTTGTCAATGCTGGCCCGCCTAGCCATCTTTATGCTATCCTTCAGAATACTTTTATCGCGTTTTAGAATTAAGTTAGTCGTGATTATCAGATTGTGTGAACGTAAAGGTGGCTGTTGTTGTTCAGAAGCTCTGCGATTGAGTACACAGGCTACGCGTTTGTCAGTTTACGTGATATAAGCAGAGTGTAAGTATTTAGAACGAGGGCTTTGGTTTAAATTATCGTGTCAATAGAAGACAAAGGTAATTTTTTTTAATTTGGATGGATTATCATTAAATAGATTGCCGGGCCAAAGCAAGTATACACATTTGAAAATTGGATATGAGGAAAACGTTACAAACGTTATCGAAACGTCACTAGGTTGGAAAAACAGTCACAGTACGCTGAAATCTTAAGCCACCGTCAACCATGGGTGTATGGTTTCTTTTACCCGGCAATTTCGTCAGATCCAGTGTTACCGCAGTGGTGTCGTCAGTGAGTGAGTGAGTGAATAATGTTAAACATTGTCAGTAATGTATCCGTTCTTTCAGTGTATCTGTACTGGGCCATAGAAACCAGTGACTGAAAGCATGAACAACGAACTACGACTTCGTGGTCGATGACACAGTCACCTAAGTCACACAGCCTATGTTAGTTCATGCGACAAGCAGGACCTACTGGATACCTACTCTGACCCTGACTCTATGTAATTAACATGACAAGTTAAACAACGTATGAAAAAGAATACGAACATACGCATTTTAACACATTTCCTTTGGCGTGTTATATAAGCAATATTGAAAAAGTATTCGAAATTTAGCTGATTTCTCCAGTTAAGTGCTTAACAGCTGGTGTTTGTAAGTTGCCAGCATCACAAATTGGTGTCATTATAGTGAATGCAATGCAGTGTTACTATCGTTGGTTTCATTTTTGACGGACTCTTATTTTTTACCTTGAATAATATCGACAGCTCTGTTCGTGGTGATTACAGTAACGACTGTTGAGGGAAGCAAACTCTAATCAATCGACAAAGACGATGAGCACTTATAACAGTAAAGATTTATTTTTCTCATTATCTCACACAAGGATACGTTTAACACCACTCGCATCTTTAAATGTTTGATCATCACTGGATCAGCAGTATCTCATCGTTTGCAGGTTTGTTCTCTTCTTAAACCCGTGAGATTATTTTTTCATTTTATTTTGTATTAAACACTCGATTTTAAGTCGAGATGGATAATACCATCCCAAATGACCTTTAACGATACATAAGTCGTGAGTGAGGTGAATATCACCCCTCTTTTGGTATTATTGCAGACACGGAGAATGATTATGCATACATTATACGAAGCACCATAAAATCCCAAATTTGTCCTGATTATGATCCCCGGGACTTCGTATACAGTAAACCACGGTTATAACGAACTCAAGGGACCACTAATTTTAGTTCGTAATGACCGTAGTTCGTTATAAGCAAAAACGGCATATATACAATAAATGGTCGGGACTAAAAAATAAAGTTCGTTTTATCGGTCAGTTCGTTATAAACGTAGTTTACTGTAAGGGTATACGAGGAACTTTAAAATTTAAAAATATTAACATTGATCTAAATACTATTTAACAATAGTGACGCGTCTGTTTTGTTAATTACAGAAGTAAATTAAGTACTAACGTAGCTGACACTGCAAGTTACAAAGATGAAGTTCGCGGTCTATCCTTCACAAGTTGCAGCTGCAGAAGCTGATGATGGCGGCGTTTGTTCAGACAGCGCAACAGGTGGCCTAGCTGTTGCATGCAGTATGTGTACAGAACTATTGACATGTACAGAAACCTAATTAGTGCGAAGCCATTGACTGTAAACTAACGTAATTACTATCGACTGTTCTGCCACAGTTGAGTAAGACCTACTATTTAGCCATGGAGTCTCATTGACTCAAACACTGACCTGACGCAACGCTCCTCGTGACGCTGACGACGGCGACGATGATCATACAAGTTAACCTCAACATGGTCGGTGAAGTTTAAGGCACTCCAAAGTCTTAATCACTTGAACATTCTGGTAGAAATAGTTTCCAGTCAACACCAGTGTCATAACTTGGAGAAGATCCCTCTCCCAGTTTTCCCTGACTGTTCTCAAGGCTTGCTTAGAAGGGCAATCCCGTCTTGTAGTCGATCCACCCCTAGAACAGACTTTAACGGTTGATCATTGGCGAAGCGGTTCCCATCGACCAATGAACGGCCGCGTCGAGGCACAAGCCTAACAAACAGCCAATGAGTTGTGAGAGCGATCACAAGAACACTTACCCCCACCGAGTGTCGCCTTGAGAAATAGCGATTAGATCAAATCTTGGAATCACAAACACAGTAATAATTGATAGAGCAAGTGCTTCGCAGTGCTGGAACTCCGGCCACGATGAGATATCGCTGATCCAATGGTCTGGTGTATCGATCTACAGTACATGGAAGATTTGGCCAATCTTTTCTCCCATTCCGGGGATTCTGGGGCTCAAAAACTGCTTAGGACGTTCAGGGTAGTGTTGACCTTGGTCGGATAAAGGGGCCAACTTTCCGATCAATGTTTTATGATAAATATGTTTGGATGGTACAGCTACAGAAGTGATGCTTATGTGTGTGTGTGTGTGTGTGTGTGTGTGTGGCTCTTTTAATGTATTTGAGAACGATAATATAAAATCTTTTTTATTTATTACTTAAAAAAGGTTTTGGTAAGCTGAATCTGTACAAAACCAATCAATGCTTGATGTAGCAAAAACCCATCCCCGCCAAGGTCTGTCGATATTATATGTGTTGTTGTAATGGGAATAGGGTGTACATGTTTTTTTTAATGCAGCGCGGATACACAACACAGCTGGACTTCTTATCCCATGACTGTTTCCACCAGCAAATAACAATAAATCACTCATCTGATCAGAAACACTTTTTGTTCATTTTCCCATAAACTGAACGGCAGTTCATCAATTGTTGGTATATCGAACGCTCAGTAAGGTACCAGCCGTGGAGAGATCTGGTCCAGATCTACATCGATTAGAGCGGATTATCACTAACGCTATCTAAATGTGTCTTTTTCTCATCACTTAGTCTGATTCAGATAATTACGAGATGTCTGAATGCATTCACGTGTAGCAGGGGGGCGTCTCAATGTCCTTGCCGGTGACAAGGGGTCGTCTCGAGAGCTTCATACGAACAATTCCTGACAGTCAGTTCCGGTTGTGTGAGAGGGACTCTAGCGTCATGAATGATCACTTCGATCGTCATAGGAGTTGCTGCCACATGTGATGGCTTCATCTTGTCGTGTTGACAGACAGGCCCAGACTAAAACTGGACACGTGTAAACGGGTGTGAACTGTGAAGTCGTGTGCCCTGAATTTGTTCTGTAGACAGAGCAGTGAGTTACATACATGTTACCCTGACACCAAGCTGACAGCCACGAGTATTCCCATGATTATGAATCCTTTGACCAGACAGTGTCGCATATTGATTGAATACGTGAGTGTTTGTTTTGTTTGTTGTTTACGGTGCAGCCTGCACTATTTCCCCGCTTCATGGCGGGGTATAAATAATCAAGTCTGGGTCAGACAAACCAGTGGTTGAGATCAGTTGGATGACGGTGACTCGCAGTCAACCGGTCACAGAGCCGGACTACTCGATAAATTTCGTGCAGTTTGTTGTTTAACGCCGCACACAGCAATAGTCCAGCTAAATGACGGCGGTCTGTAAATTATCGAGTCTGGACCAGACAATACCAGTGATTAACATCATGAGCATCGATCCACGCAATTTGGATCCATGACATGCATCAACCAAGTCAGCGAGCCTGACCACCGGATCCCTTTAGTCGCCTCTTAAGACAAGTAATGGTTCCTGAAGACCAATTCTTACACGGATCTTCACGGGCGATTTCGCGCAGTGGAGACGCGACTGCTCTAACACATTGCATCTAAGAAGCCCTATGAGTTGAGTACCGCCCCCACCCCCCCTCCCCCCTCCCATCCCCCGGTATATCTACGGAGTGAGTAAGTGAGGACACCTTTTAACAACAAATATGAGCTAGTGCGTCTTACTAAGCTAAAGCAATACTCTCCCATATCATTTGTGACACTTTGAACGGACGTTACACATTGGTCGCATGTTCGGTATCGAACCCGGGGGTCTGCATGACAAGCCAACGCTTTACAACTGGGCTACCCTCGCCCTCCCGCAGTATGACAGTGAAGGGGATACGAGAACACGCTCTACCCTTGAGAAAATAAAACTATAAAGAATTTAACAGCTAGCTTACCTTACCGCACAAAAAGACACGCCATTCAAATGCTCTTTTTATTTTATTTGTATTACGCATATATTCTTGTTGATGGATTGTAAGTCAAAATATAAAAAAACAAACACGAAAGAACTCGGAAAAACAACCATATTAAAGGGGTCTCTTTAAATTAGGAAGGCGGGTGAATTGATGAAATAAAGTGATACTGAAAGTGTTTATTGAATGACAAGGTAACGGTTACTTTCTTCCTTCATCGATCTTTTTGAGTTTTTATTAACTTGAAATTGTTAAGAGACTTGGTGGGGAAAAACCGATTGTTTTTAAAATCTAATAATTTATTTTATTCAACGGATCCGAAAACTAAGTACAGTAAAATACGTTTATAACGAACTCTTTTTTAACGAACTTTTTTTTGTCCTGACCATTTGCTGTATATATGTTGAACATATATGCTTATAACGAAGTACGGTTATAACGAACTAAAATAGGTGGCCCCTTGGAATTCGTTATAACCATAGTTTACTGTAATACAGAATGTCAAATAATTAAAATAACGAATGTGAGATCAGTTTCACTTCCCTTTTACATAGCACTAATAGTTGACGAAAGGGAATCGTAGAAACTGTACACTGTTACCGGCATAGTCCTCGCCATGAGTGATTAATAAAAAGCTTTATCATATAATGGGTAGGTTTCTCGGCAGGATAAAGCCAACGGATAAAAACGATATCCGTTGGGGTCATATGCGGATAGAGATGCAAATATCAAAGGTCACGTAGGGACTACTTTCACTGTTTATAAACAAACACGGCGTCGCACTCGTCATTCGGCGATCGAGTCAGAATTAACCATCGGGAATCTGGATAAACTACAGGGATAATTGCTATCATTATCAAAAGAACAGTCTAATATATTGAAAATCTGTGTCTAACTATGACGTAGCTTAGGCATTTTATAACTTTTGGCAACTTTGGAGATATACATTTCGAAACAATTTGGCGAGGGCAGTAGCCATATCTGTGCTTGTAGACCTCTGCGGCTTGAAACCTCCTCCACAAATTAAAATAGTTGGATTTGGCGGAAATATGTTTGAATTGTTACCTTGTTTCGTTTTGTCGCTGTGTGTACATCTGACAACACTTCTTGTCGTTATGACAGGAGAGACCGACTGTCAACAACATCTGACCGTGGCCGTGACGTCTCATAGACTAGGGTTAGAGTAGTTTCCCTTTGACAAAGGGCAGTTACTCTAGCGGACAGACCGTTGGATTGCCGCGAAAGACAATTAAAAACAATTGTTGTTTTGCGTATATGTTGCTTGGCCACTGTATAAGAAACATATTTCAGTTGGAACTATATTGGCTACTGTCACTGTCCGACTGACACATCACTTACCCTGTGACGTAATAAATATTAATGCTAGCATTCCAGGAAAACTCGCAATGCTTCGGTAATGTTTGTGAGTGAGGGTAAAGCGATTTTGAAGCACAGAATTAAAGAATGACATTAAATGATAAAGAGGTTATCACGCTTGTGTGTTTGGGGATGGTAAATATCCTGTATTAGGAATAAACACTATGTATTTAGCTCGCCAAGGCTCGTTAAATACAATGTTTATTCCTAATGCAGGCTATTTACCATCCCCAAACACACTCGCGTGATAACCTCTATGCATATGTTCTAATATCTATAAAATGGAAACAAGCCGTCGATAAGGAATATTATTTACAGTAATGACACAAAATTGCAAAGAGCGCTTTAAAAATTTCTTATATCCATTTTGCAGCGATAAACATCATCGTTGAGTTTTGATCACGTGGTTACAATCCGGGAATGAATCGACAGTCACGTGACTGGGAGCAGCTATATTTAGAAGCCTACGTACTTCACCAGCACGAACCAAAAGAAAATAACGTGCAGATGTTGTATTTAAAGGGTTATATCCCATTAGTTAGACGTCCCATTAGTTAGACGTCCCAATTGTTAGACATGTTTATTTAGGCAAAGAGGGAATATACCTACAGGTGTAATGGATCAGTCCTAATTAGATTAAAGTACTGGGTAGGGATAGGGGACTCACAGTTTATGGAGTATATATGTTATAATTTCGTTTAATCAACCTAAATTACCTTACTCTCGGCACAGGTTCAATAGGCATGAGATTAACTATGTAAACTATGGAGTAGCTTAATTGTCTCACTGTATTATCAGTTGAAGGAGTTGAGTTTAGATTATCTACTCATCAAACAAATAAAAATGATCTTGGGGTACGTATCATTATCAGTATCGATATGGCTGGTTTAAGGAAAGTAGAGTACCTCACCTCTCGGCGTGGAAGTGAGCAGTTGATATTAGATGGATAATTATATTTACAACAGAAACCGCGAGAGGCAAACCTTCACACATTGGAGGTGCGTCGTCAAGACGTGCAATGGGAAATGTACAACTGTCGGTGACTTTCTTTGCAATCAGTCGGAACATAACCATCCGCCTGAAGATGAAACCAGAGTGAACTTTGTCAGCAATCTTCGTAAAAGAGCGCGAGAAGAAACCACACAGATGCAGGCATTGTACGAGGAGCAAGTCACTCAAGTAGATGAAGCCAACATGCCAGCGATGCCATCATTTCAGAGCGTGAAAAGTGCACTTTACAGGTAAATATCATCTCGTATTTTTGACTTGGTTAGAATTTACTTCTTTTTTTTTAGGTCCCACATAACTTGTTTCGCTCTTAAACATTTCAAGTTAATGAAATCATTATCAATATTTCATGTAACATATGTGTAACTGTTCCTTTGCTCTTGTTCAGGTGTTACATTCCAGCGTTACCCAGGTCGCGGTCAGCAGTAGACATTGAAGAC